GTTTATGAACTCGAAAGTAGTCAGAATATTCATATCTTAATATTTTATCTTGGTTGACAATTACTCTTTTTTTAAATTTGAGAATCCAACGAAAGAGAAATGGTTCTAAAATGAGATAATAATAGACGTAGTCCATCTTTGTTTCATGTTTGAGGATATCCTATATTTTCAGAAATGTTTTCTTGACCAGTTGAGAGTAATGAACGTGCTTTTCTCGAATATGTTGTTGCTAGCTTCCTTTTAGTTTGTAGTCAAGTGATCTATAGTTCTCTATATATGGTTGTGGTTGGGAATTTGGGATATATGGTTCAGAAATTCAATATTCATAAATTTCCACGTCCGTCCGTGATAGGCTTATTTTATGGTTCTCATTCAGAATTTTGTATCTGGCATGGATGCATGGAAAAGCAACTTTGGGAAAACTCTTTGAATGGTAATAGAAGTCCGGTTGCAACATTTTTTCTTGTCATATAACCTTTTTTGTTCTTGAATTGGTTCTGCTGGAGAGAAGACCTGGTCGAATTTGCTTTTTATGTTTCTTCTGAACATATTATGTTCTTTTGAAAATTTGATTCTTAAATGCTGAGTGAATTGTTCAAGATGCTACATAATCTGACTATGTGATGTGCTTCAATGAATTGGTGGCCTAATTTTAAGTTCATATATACTCACAGTGATTTAAGACCTTATGCAATCCTCATTATGTATGTCCTGATGAAACTTCTGTTGTGCATTTCTTTGTGAAAATTTGCGCTCTCAGATTCAGAATGAAGGATTTGTTCGTCTTTCTATCAGAACGATATCAGAAGGATATCATGGAGCTCTTAACAAATCAAAGATTTTGTGTATCTATATTGCAGTTCTTTAATTTGTGAGTAATTTTTAACCTTTTTTTCTTATTATTTTTTTTTTTAATATTATGAAACTAGATATACTTGTTTTTTTGTTTGTTGTTGTTGTTGTTGTTGTTGTTAGTAGTGTTGTTGTTTTTTACATATTTGCACAAAAATATGAAAGAATTTGGCAGAGAAAATAAATATGGATTGATGTTTCGCTCTCACTCCAAAGCAAAGGTAACAGTAAAGATCGTGCAACGAACTACATTCAAGAAAGACTGGCAAAGGAAGATATTGAATTCTTTTTTACACCATATCTGAGACAGTAAGTAACTTCACTTTCATGTCATTTTTTATTGTCCCATGCAAATAAGTATAAACTAAAAACACAACTATGTTTTCTTCCTTTTGAAATGTTACGGATCATTGGCAGTTGATTGTTCTTTGCCCTAATAGGGTGGTTTGCTTCTGTTCCTTGTCAAAAAGCTTAAGAATGATATAGTCCAGAAAATCACGACGTATGTTTTATTTTATATGATTTTGATCTAATTTTTTGAATTTATTTTGAAACTAAACTCTCTATTTTACATTTATTATGTTAGGGCATTTTCCACATTTCAGCTAATGAAGAGAAATCATCCCTACAAACAGAAATTCGGTGGTCTATCCAAAGGTAAATTTATTTTTTAAACAATGTTATTTTGTAACTTGCACTTTCATTTTGTTACTACAAATTTAATCATTACATTTATCTTATTTTTTGTAAGTTATTAATTTTATATGATTCTTTTCATATTTTTCAAGTGTCGCCAACAATCGAGAGGTGTTGAATGCGGGTATTTTGTTATGAGATAAACCATCATACTTGACGTTACTAACAACTTTGATAAGGTAATTGTGAACAAAAATAATTTGTAAATATCAAGCACAAGTTTATTTTCAAGTAAATAAGTTGTTCTATCTTTTTGTCTTGATCAGATGTTATAATTATTTTTTCAAGTTTAGGTGTTTAATTGTGACGAGCCGTTCTCGAGTGATGATATTAATGATGTAAGGATACGTTGGACTCAATATTTTCTTGATATAACTTCATTAGTGAAGTATGATAAGATTGGACTTTTGTTAGACAGGCTTCGTAGGTTGTTGAACATGTGTTGTGAAACTATTTGTCACTTGGTATTGTTGTGTTTGTGAAATTGATCCATATTGTTGTTGTGTTGGCATTTAAGTAATGGTAGATATTTTCTTTTGCTATTTGTTTGTTGATATGATAGTTTTGTTTTTTTTTTTAAAAAAAAAATAGAATGTTGCACCCTTTTTTATAACATATGCTTTCTACAATTTAAAAAATTGTGCATTTTAATGTCGGTTCAAAATTATAACATGTCATTATTTAACCGTTATCAAATACATTGTTTTTGTAACGGGTATTTAGTAACCCGTTATAAATTGTAGTATAAACAACAGAAGTTTGTAACGGGTAAATGAAAGTCTGTTATAAATATAGCATATTTTATAACGGGTGAATGGGGAACTGTTATGAAATATGTTATGAAATAGTGTAGTCTATAACATGTAAATTAATATTTATAATGGGTCTATGTTACCCGTTATAAATGGCAGTCAATTTATAACAGGTCACAACCGTCATAAAAAGTTCATACTTTTTATAACGTCTGAAACTATTACGAGTTCAAAACCATTATAAAAAGTCTTTTTTACCTGTTATAGAAATAGTTTTTTCTACTAGATTATGTTGGTTGTGGTGTGACAGTTCAATTGACAAGTGAGGGAAGAAAAAGAAAATCTTTGTGAAATATTATATGAGATCAATTCCAAACTGACTTTTGCTAATGAAGCCATTGAGAAATCAGGATGGACTATCATTCGGTTCCTATATTGGAGTGGGTAAGATAAGCCCACTATGCAAAAGCCCATTTTGAATTGGAGTGGATCAGTGGCGATTGGATATGGGAAAAATACACATATAATCCCTAGATTGAAATATTAACATAAATACATTTAGTAGAAAACATAATCAACAGAGGATTCATTAGTGATTTTTTTTTTTCAAATTTACGAGATTGTAATAAATCATCAGATATCTTTCTTCTCTCTCCATATATTGATAGTCATCGCATGAAGGCGAGATTGACGAAAAAAAAAGGTAAAGACGTTGAACAGAAAAAAAATGGAAAACTTGGCGATCGTGATTTCCTATAATTCAGAAAATCACGAATTCAAAATTAGAAAACGGGAGAATCGTCGTCAACAAATTTTTGGGTACAAAAACGAGGAATCAAAGACCTTCGGTCGTGTACCAAAGACGATTCATTTGTGACAAAAAAATCGTGAAGTATTCGTGGAATCAAAGCCGTTTGAAGGTATATTCATGTTTATTTAATTAACTTTGTTGTTTGGTGATGGATTATGAAAGCGTAGGGTCTTTTTTTTTTATTTCTTATTTTTTAGTTTCAGCTTTTATTTTGAGATGAAAATATTGAAAGCTAAATCTAAAGAAAAGTATTTGTTAATTTTTTTTTTGTTTTTTTTTTGCCTTTGTTTTTGTTTTAAAAAAAAAAATCAGTTTTTTTTTTTTTTTTGTTTTAATACATACTCTATTATCCGTTATTTGTTTCATTGTGTTTTTTTTAAACCTCAAGCGAATCTGTTTATTTTTCAGGAACATGAATGATGTAAATGTGTTTTTACATCATAATAGAGTATGGATCAACAATGAATACGTGAACTATGATGTCAGAGGTATTTTGATTAGTTCTTCATGTAACTACAATCAACTCCGATATATTATTTTTTATAAACTGAAGGTAAACGCGTATTCAAATGATATGGAGATGAAGTATCAAGTGAAAGATGGATATCCAGCTATGAGTGTGGATGATGATAGCAGCCTACATTTTTATATTTCATTGAAATCGAAGGAGTGTGATTACACAAAGTTTCCCTTGTGTGTGGTTTTAATAAAATTAATAAACGTCCCTGCACCCGTTCGAGGCATAATGTCAATTTCTACATATCTGTCTGTATATGATATAGAAGGGTTAAAATGTCTTGAGCCGGCACGGGGAAACACTGAAAGAGATGAATTTTATAGAGAATTTGCCGAATATGCTGCAGATACAATGCTGGAAGCAATTATGTATACGAAAGATAAACAGGAGATAAACAACTCCAGAACACTTGAATGTGGTGTCGATGGAAGTATGATTTGGGATGTTGTGGTCGGCCAATCTTTCAGAGATAAAAATGAAGTGATGAAGTTGCTCAGCCACCATGAAATAACAAAAAAATACCAGTTCAAAGTGGAGAAGTCTTGTCCGAAGCAGTACTACGTCAAGTGCATATGTACGGAATGCAAATGGTATGTTAAAGCGTCAAGGGTAAGAAATTCCAACATTTTCAAGATTCAGGATGTGGGGGGCGACCATTCATGTCCATTTGAGATACGTACAAGTGGTCAACGACAGGCTACGTCCAACATTATAAGTGGGTTCATTCAATTGAGATTCACAAATATGAAGACAACTTATGTTTCAGGGGACATAATACACGACGTGGAAGTTCAACATGGAATAGAGTTGTCTTACCAGAAGGCATGGAGGTCAAAGAAAAAAGCTATGGAAGAAGTGCAAGGTAATCCAGACATGTCTTATGGTAAAATTAACGAGTACTTACAAAAAGATTGTGAATTGAATCCAAATAGTGTTGTGAAATTGTCTGCCACATCGGACCATCACTTCATGTACGTATTCATGTGTCTTAATGCTTGAATTAAAGGTTGGAATCATTGTAGACCTATTATTGTTGTCGATGGGACTTTCCTTAGTTCGACTTATGGAGGGATATTGCTTACAACATGTTGTCAAGATGCCAACTCCCATATACTTCCATTGGCATTATGCATTGTTGATTCTGAGAATAATGATTCGTAAACATGGTTCTTTTCAAAGTTGATGGAAGCACTGACTGTCCGGGAAGGTTTATGCATTGTCTCTGATGGACATGAAAGTATAAAACATACAGTTGCAAACGTATACTTCTGACATCTTAGATATATATACGTAAAATATACAGTAAGTAAACAAACTCATATTGCTGTAATATTTCTCTTAATCATTTAAATACATTTTGGTTATAATGCAGGTATATCTAGAGACTGCACACTTTTTATGTGCCTATCATATATCTAACAACTTGCGGACACATTTCAAGAAAGAACCAAACGCTGTTAAGAATGCCTTTAATGCAGCTGCGAGGGTATACACTGTTGATGATTATAATCATCATATGGCGGAGATAAATAAACTTGATCCTCGAGTACCCCCGTTTCTGGAGAAAATTGGAATACAAAAATGGGAAAGAATTCATTGTCCAAGTAACAGGTATTTTACGATGACGTCCAATGCGGCAGAAGCAATTAACTCTGCCACGAGGGAGATCCGTGACTTACCAATAACAACACTTTTGGAGCCATTGAGATCTTTACAAGAAAAGTGGAATGTTTCTAATAGAGATGAAGCAGCGTCGACGTTTACTACGTTAGCAAAGAAGGCTCACAAGACGCTCGAAAACAATTATAAAGTAGCTGCCAGCTTTTCGGTGAGATACATTAAAATATATAACATTGTGATATATATATCTATATATATACACATTTATATGTAAATATGTCTATATACCATTTAGTACACGATGTATCATTCAAAACTTTTTTTTTTTCTTTTAGATACAAAAGGCAAGCGACAAGGTGTTTAAGGCGTCATCCGACAGAAGTGGATATGTAGTAAATTTGAAGAAGAAGTCTTGCACAAGCAATTTTTTCCAGATGGATGAATTGCCTTGTCTACATGCTATCCGAGTGATTAGAGCCCTTCATTTGGATCCAGATACATTTTGTTCAATACATTACTTAACGGATACGATGCAAGCTACATATGCAGAACCAGGTTTCCCTATTGAGACAAGCCAAAAATACAGCCAGGTTGATTCTGATGGCATTGGCATTATCAATCCATCTACTGAAAGAGTGAGGCCCGGACGTCGGCGGCATAAAAGACTCAAACCGAGATGGGAGTCTCAGGTAAAAAATAGGTGCAAAAAATATGGTGAGGAAGGGCACAATGTAAAGACATGTTCAAATTCGAAGAGAGTGAAACAAAATTAGATTGATGTGTTTACTTATTGTTTTATTTGTGGTATGGGTAAATTTTTAAGTTGTAATAATATTACTGACCTATTCGTTATGGTTGTTAGGTTATTACTTACAACATAAATGAAGGTTGTAATTCAAACCTATATATGTACAATAATCGGTTTGTATGCTAATAAAAAATATGTTTATATATTGTTTATCTTATGTATATATATATATATATACATATATATATATATATATATATACAATATCGGTTTGTGTGCTAATAAAAGTTATGTTTATATACTGTTTATATGTTTGTATACTGTTTATCTTACGTATATGTATATGTACAATAATTGGTTTGTGTGCTAATAAAAAATATGTTTATACTGTTATATAAACGTTTAACTTATGTGTATATATATATATATATCACTACAAAAATACTCTTACATTCCAACGGAAATTTTCCGTTGGAATTCTTTATATTTTTCGTTGGAATAGCTATTCCAACGGATATTCCTACGTATAAAAATTCGTGGGAAAAAACGGCCGGTGGAATAACTAAAATCCAACGAAAAATCCTATGGAAATAAATTACAAAAACATTTCAACGGAAAAAATCCGTTGGAATTCCTCAACCATCCAACAGTTATTCCAACATAAAATTAAGTTTGTTGGAATATTCATTGGAATTTCCAACGGAAATTTTTGCCGTTGGAATTTTTCGTTGGAATTGAAATGTTTTCTTGTAGTGTATGTACCATAAACGGTATGTGTGCTAATAAAAAATGTGTTTATATAGTGTTTATCTTATGTGTATATATATATGTAGAATAAACGGTAGGTGTAGATACATTAACCTACAAGTTCTACATATAAGTATTTGTTTATATTTTGTTTATCGAGTTAGTGCATAATCAAAAATATGTTTATGAACTGTTTATCTTATGTATATATATCCATAATAAACATAAGTGTAAGTGTATTGCTTATCCGAAAAGTAAATTTTGATAGGTTAACCTCAAGCAAATCAAATATCCAAAAGCAACAGCACCAATATTCCTTCACTGAAGTTCTCCAGGAAATAAGGAAAAAAAAATGCAACACAACATAATGCCAAATAGTACCAACATGGTTCAAATCTCCGTACACAAAAGACAAACAGTACTACTTCCAAAGGTAGGCATATTCTAACTAACAGATGCGAGCTTTGCACGTTCTATATCATCAAGCATCCCAGGGGAATCATCCTTGCTCTCACACGAATTTTCTTGCTTCATAATACCATGTTGGTATAAATGGTATGAGTACCGCGTCCTCCCCGTGTCGGGATCGTAGTATTTCGGGATATCAAACTTCGTGATGAAGAATTTGGCAAATGAGGTGACAAATATTCTGCAATCTCTGAAATAAAAAGGTATAAAAAAATTGTTAAGAACATGTTACAATTTACGTAGATGACTACATAAATGATGATAACAATTTAATAGGTTTTACCCTTGATGCTGCTGAGGAAGGTTTTCAGCCATAATAACATCTAGTGGATTAATCATCCCTTTTCCATCGAATGCTTCTCCCACAGTTTTGATGTCGGTTCTTTTGGAATAGAAGTGGACCATACCGAGGAAAATAGGAATGAGAGTAGAATAGCACCAAACACCGTCATAAACAATCTTGTCAAACTTTTCTAATCGACAAGAATTGTATACAACGAGCCTCCTCTCACCAATGGAAAATCGCCCCAGTACCAAGTGGCCAACACCGTTCAAATCAATATGAATGGAAAAGAGGACATTATCAACATTAAACCACGACTCTCCACAAATTATCTTCTTTCCCATTATGTAGTCTACAACAATGTAGTCCAAAGAACAAACACCCGTATCGGAACCTCTCAAAATGTACAAGTCATAAAGAGCTTTGATTTTCTGATCAAAGAGAACGTCGGTGGTGGTGTACCGTATGACTTCGGAAGAACCATATGGTCGAAGCTTTCTCACATAATAGAATAAAACATCCATATGCTATATAGAAATGATAATTCATATTGATTAGCTGGAACTTAAAACATTTATATATTAATAACATAATGGCATGCACGGTTTAAGTAACTATGTACTTACACTGTCATCAAGAAAGAAACCAGGTTCTTGGAGACTCATAAACCAATTCTTAGCAGTGATACGGGCAACATTGAAGTCGAACGGTCTCTTGAGCTGCCAGTATTTCTTAAGGTAGTACTCCGTCCTGTTAAAAAAATAATATTTGTTACATTGTATATATTGTAGTAATTGAAATATACAATGCAAAAGAATGTTTCATTTGGAAACAATCTCAAAAATAATTAGGCTGTTTTTTTTTTTTTTTAAGAAAAAATGTACTTATACTTATTAAGCAGTATTATATTTCGTAATATGAACAGTAAGTATACAAAAAATATGAAACTTACTCGTGTTCACCAATCTTTTGAAAAGTCCGAAGATAACCCATTCTTAGCGACCTCATGAAATCTTCTGTTTCACCGTCAAGAACATTCTTCAAGAACGGAACATTGAATGGACATGAATGTTTAAGAACATTCCGTTTCTTGGAAACGACTACAACAGGGTTGCGCACAGGTGGGTTGACATTCTTAGCAGGTATGTCCACACCAGACACAACGCTTGGTCCAGTAATGGTTGTCTGAACAGGGATTTCACATTTTTCCTACAAAGTAGATAAATTATAATTAATTAGCAAACATCCTTTACGAATGGATTGTTAGGCTAATTATGTTAACTCACAGTAACAATCTTGGGATGAGGCACATCTCTTGAAGGTTGTGTTGGAGGTAGATCTTTCGTAATTGTATCAAATGATGGTTGAGATGATGGTTGAGACACAATGATTTGTTTGGATATGTGACCAATGTGTTCATTCAGTGAAAGGCCATAACATGGAACTTTCTGCACAATAAATTTGAAGTATTTATTACAAATAAATATAAAAAAATGTATGTAGTTTAAATGAAGGACATTTATTACGATGTATATGTTTATCTAATGTATATGCTTAATGTATATAAACTAAAATGGAAGAAATATAATGGGTATTTTAAACCTTTCCCTTGTAGGTAGATCGACTTTTTGTTATTACTTCAGTGGCCCTATCAATTTCGGCTAGAAATTGAGTGTTGATGGGAGAAAACGTGTCATCATTACCATCAGTATTCTGGTTGACTGCTTCATCAGTCTATGGGTAGAAAAAAAAATAGAATCGATGAATTTGAACCAATAATTCAGTTTTACTGTCGACATACACTATATAAACAGTATATAAACAAAAAATGACATAATAAAGAACATGTTCAGATATAATATATATATATATATATTGTATATAAACATTATATAAAGTATCTGTATTGATAGGTCTCCTCTTAGATCTGGAGTAAACCGGTGGAAATGAGCTTCGATCTATTTGAATCGCCTCCAAATCGTCCTCGAACCGCTGCAAACACCTGTCAGAACTCAACACCGGAAGTGTTTCCAGTGAGGAGCCTCCGATGCTCAAGTCAGTGAAAGTGATGAAAATGAGCTCTACTCAGTAGGAGAGCAGCTGAGAAATGGATAGATGGAATGAAAGTTAGGGTTTGGAGTTACCTCAGCTCCTTTATATAAGAGTAGAAACACTTACTGGAAATACCTAAAATACCTTGGCCGACTTACACGAAGTGTCCAAAATTCCCTGGTCGGTTCGCATTCCGCCCACTCCTGAGTCAACATCTAGATTCCTTCTTATCTCATACAAATTCTCTAACTTGGAGGTTTTCCTACGACATC